ATCAAATAGCGATTAGTGTATCATGTATAGAAAGCCCAAATTGATAAATTCCAAAGTTTCCTATGAAGCGAATTCCAGTTACCAAAACACCAACATACACTTGTTTGTCTCCTCCGTTGCGGCTACTCCAATGAAAAATCGAATTTCCAGTTTTTTTCAGCCGTTAACGGAACTCCGAGTAAAAAAGAATCATGGAAACAGGGCAGAAACATGACTCTACAGTGAGTCCAAAGCAAAAGAAAATACAAGATGACTCCTTAGGGAGTAAGGAACCCAATAATCTTACATATGCATGCAATAAACTGTTTCAAACGCCTCATAAACTACATGTCGTTATCTATAATCTATTTTATTCAGATGTTGAAACATTTGATGTCGCTCGTGGCACAAGGGTTTATTGTTTTGACGCGCCTCTAGATCCTTCGGAGGAGTTGAAAATAGACATCGTTGCATGTGACTACGATTACAATGTTGATGAGTCATTGTCAGGGCCGGTCATGGGCGAAGGCGAATAAGGCATGGGCCTTGGTCCCAAAAAATTATTGATTTTTCAATATTAAAAAATGGTCCCTGATTTGTTTATGTTTTGCAAAATTAGGCTCCCAAATTTTTAAAATCTTAACAGTTATTCTCATATTTAATTATATATAAAAAGGCTAACTTTTTTTTTATTTTAGGCCTAAAACCCCCCAAAATCTCAGGGTCGGCCCTGGTTCTTATCTGCCGCATGTTTAACTAAAGAGGTAAAAAGAGTAGCTGTTGGATTAGATATGTAAATAATCGAGTTATTGCGAATGTTTTGCAAATTATCAATTATATATATATAAAAAAATATATCGTTTAAAAAGTAGTCGAGAATGTTCTTAATTGAAAAGATGGCTTTGATCAGATTTTTTTTATACATAGGATATCAGTAAAGAGTGTTCTTAGCATTGACCAGGCTTCGGGTTCTCGGATGGCTTCAATCAACTGCCTAGAACCACTTTCAAAAATTACATCCTCGAAGCCGTATACATTGTCCAAACAGTTGTTCATAGTCCAGCTCATGGCAAATGCTTCTGCCTCAAGACTAGCCGGAGGACAAGGATAGGCTTTTTCTCCATACCACCTCACCTCACCTCACATCCCATGTACTATTATTATTCCTTTGGTAAAAGATTATATATAATTTGTTAGGTTAATTAGCTTAATATTAGTTGTGGGGTAGATAATTAGGTAACTACCAAGTGCATAATAAAATTTAGGTAATTAGGAGAGAAAATGAAATTGTGGACTAATTTATCCCTATGAGATTTGACAAAGATTAACGGTTTAAAAATCAGATCAAATATTTACTGAAACAATTTAAAATCCCTAAAAGTCTTTTATTTGATCGTCTCTTGTTATTAAGGAAAGTATCAATAAATCAAAAAATTATCATTATTCATTTCAATAAATCAAAAGTTACCAAAGAATATTACTTTTCTTAATTATGTCATTATCTTTCGTAGTTAAACATGGATAAACGTAAAAAAGATTTTATATAAAGATATAGTTCAC